TACGGTATGCTCTGCTGTGAGCATCGTAGAGCGTAAATATCTTCATCGCGAATTCTACTTTGCTATCGCTCTTGATCGTGCTTCCGCTGGTCCGGTTATTATCGCCAGCTCTCAGGGGGGTGTCAATATTGAACAAGTCGCTGCTGAAAATCCCGAAGCTATCATTAAGGTGAGAAGTGAGGAAAGAGATGTAGCTGGGATTCATCCATTCATTTTAGATCTCTTAGTACGGCTTTGTATCTTTTTTCCGCTATAAACGAGTGTCATTTTGTTGTCAGAGTAGTTGTTGTGAGGGTGTGTCCCATTAATGAATATGCAGTGACATGATCTCCGTTCCCCTCCAGCTTCCGATCGATATCGTGGATGGTCTCTCCATGGAAACAGCTAAGAAGCTGGCTGCTGATTTGGGTTTCAATTCGGCAAAGACTCAACAAGAAGCTGCCGATATTTTTACTAAACTCTACAAGCTTTTTACTGATACGGATGCCACTCTGGTTGAGATCAATCCAATGGCTGAAGACAATGTTGGCAAAGGTGGTTTAGATACCGTCTTATGGTCGTGTTTTTTTTGTTTCGGTTGCTGATTTTTCGCACTTCTTTATATGCCAGTTCTTTGCATGGATTGCAAAATGACCTTTGATGACAACGCGGAGAAAAAGCAGCCAGAAATATTCGCACTTCGAGATTGGTCACAAATGGATGAACGAGATGTGAGAGCCGCGAACGCCGATCTGAACTATATTGGCCTCGATGGTAGCATTGGTTGTCTTGGTACGCAAGTTTATTCGATCGGATTGGAATAGGTAATGGGGTTTGCTTTTTCTTTTAAAATTCACAATCGCGATTTGTTACACGTATTGGTGTTTCGATCCGTTTTCAATTAGGGGAAAAGCCAAAATTGCATTTTTTAAAGCACATTAGTATTGTGGCTTCATGTTTTTGATAATAGTTTGTTTCTCTTGCATTGTTATAGAATACGTTTTATGGGCGTTTTCTATGGTAGATGCTAAGAGGGAATTACAAAATATGCTCAACGTTGCCTCTCTTCGAGCTTTTAACTCCGTCGTGTGGTCGTATGCATAAGTCTGTGAGATGTTCCTGTGCTTGAAAGTTGATTTGACACTTCCATTTTTGCATTTCCATCACTGTTCTGTGCATATCGGGCGGCACTGTTCACTGTTCGCACATTTCGCCCCCCTTCGAAGGGTTGCTCCAAATTGGAGCTAATTATTCCTGTTTTGGGGG